ACTAAGGTTCTTGATAAATGACTATCAGACTTTGAAAACCTGGTATCACTGGTTCATATTCAACAATTTTGTTGAATTAACATTAAAAAGGTTTTTAAATTGGATTTTGAATAAATGTGCAATTAATTGTTACAGTTTTTAATTTTACTGTTACTATCTTCCTTCCGTTGTGCAAACCATCAAGCCACGCCTACAGAACTGGTAGTAAAAGCATTTGAATTCCACCACTGGGTGAAGGGCACTGAGGATCAGTTTGTAGCAACAAGAGGGTGGTGGACTGAAAAAGTTTGGGAACCACTGATCTAAAGCTTCCCAATACTGATTGGTAGCATGATAAATCAATGCATTACCTGGTGGACCTTCATGTTTAGCATTTCACTAATCAGCAGAGAAAAGACAATATTCATGTACTGACTGAAACAAAATTCATAATCATTGCCAAGGATATGTTCTTCCGTCTTCTATGATAGTAGCACCAAAATCTGAGAAAATACCTTATTCAGCCTAGGTATTAACATATTATAACTTTATGAATTTTGTTCCAAGCAAATCTTGTGATCTGGAACTCTCATAGCCACCTTCTGCATAATCCTTCATTTTCCCTTTCTTGCTCAGGTAATTTGACGTACTCATGCAAGGACTCAAGCGTGACCATCTGCAAGATCTTCCAAAAAGGATATATTCTGTTATATCCCTTCAATACAGAATATTGTTTGATCTGTTGCTCCATGCTGTATGTCATGTGGAAAAATGTGGGCCGGCGCATAATTCAGAGCCATATCTCTGGAACCCAGCCTAGATTCAAACTCCATGGCATCATTTGGGGGCCTTTGCTTGGTATCGCTGCAATAATTATTGGGATTTGCATTTTCATGATCTATCAAATCCAAGTCACCAGTTCTTTCCCTAGTCCTATGTCATTCATACTGTACTATTCCTACTACATTTGTTTATTGCCTGTAATGACTGTGGCAGCTTTGGCTGGAACTGTTATCCATGCCTTAGAAGAGAGAGAGCTGGATACCCTGAAAAATCCAACCAGAAACCTTGATGTCATCCTGCTCATGGGAACAGCCTTAGGCCAAATTGCCATTTCGTATTTTTCCATTGTAGCCATTGTGGCCACTCATCCAATAAGCATGTTGAACAGCATCATTCTAGCCTATTCAATAAGCCTCATCATTCAACACATTTCCCAGAATATCTTCATCATTGAGGGGCTCCACAGGAAACCACTACTGATGAGTGAGAACTCTGAACCTGCTGCACATTCCACCCAAGGGCCTCCCACCACCCAAGTTCTACCTAATGAAGATAAGGTTCTATCTTATCTCTATGAAGAACCTGCCCCACCCCCTGCCAATGAGGAGACAGACAAAAGTGAAAGAGAGAAATGTGAAGACAGCTCCCCAAACATGAATAACCTAGAGACAAGACAGAAAAATCAGTCTGTTTCATGGACTTACATCACGGCCTACAGGCATCTGAACTGGAAAAGAAGAGCTCTGAAGGAGATCTCCAGCTTCCTGATCATGTGCAATATCATTGTAAGTACTAATATAAATGACATAATTCAAAGTATAGCCTACTGTACTAGAGATGACCTACTAAGTCCTCTCCAGATGTTTTGAATGATTATTCTATTGAAATCTCTGCCCAAAGGCATTGTGACAAACTTTGGTTAAAAATGTAGTCCAAAATATTTGGAGAATTCTAACTTTCTAATCCTGTCATATGTTTTCAAGCACGATTGTCAACAATCCACAAATATGACTAGACCTTAATATAAAGTGTGGATCAGCATCCACCAAAAATCAAAACAAAATTTCATTTGGGATCAAAATAACCTAGCACAGAAAGGCAGCAAAAGATGCAGGATTTCTAACTTTTTCATAATGGATTTTCTGAGGCAAGACAAAAGGCTAAAGACACAGAACAAAAACACAAGGAACAGGAAATGCCTGAATCATGGATTAGGCATGGGAAATTGCCTAATCCATGAAAACAAATGATCAAAAACTTGTTCAGATTTTCTCTTTATGTAGTACAAAAGCCAAGGTTGCAAAGATTTTCACTCAATGGAAGTGGGGAAACTAGGCAGTAGTACCAAAATTAAAGATAAAACTACCATGATAGTAAATGAACATATCCACACCCCACCAATCAGAGCACAACTTTTCACTGACCCGGCTCTCTTTTTATATCTCCTTTCCAGCTGTGGATTATGCCATCATTTGGAGCACATCCAGTATTTGAGAATGGAATAGAGAAGTCATTTTATGGCTACTCCACCTGGTTTGCCATTGTCAACTTTGGGCTTCCATTGGGTGTGTTCTACAGAATGCATTCTGTTGGTGATCTTCTGGAGGTGTATCGCTCTGCCTGAAACTAATCTAAATTTTCTCACATTGTTGTTTTTATTCTGCTACAAATGCAATTATGAAGACCTGTAATAAAATGGGTAAAATTATGAGAATTTCACATTAGAGAAATATGTGATATCATTTTGAATAATTATTTAATCAGAAAGAATAATCTGATCTTGTAAGTAGTCCATTAATCACTGAAGGTTCATTTCTCCATAATAGCACTTAATAGGATTGATTTCTTCTGTACACATTACTTACAAAACCTAATTGCAGTGATGTTGAACAATTATTAACCTTAAGAATACGTTGCTAATGTCACATTTGAAAGAGAGGTAAACTATGTTGAGCATGGCAATCCCTAGGGTGAAATGGTCACTTTTTATTACTGCATCAATCCTTGGATATGGCTGAATCATTGAAAAGAGACTGAGAAATGGACCACTTTTAAGTTAAGGACATTTCTATCAATGTCTTTTGAAAAAGCATGAAAACATCCCAGTTGTGGCATCTATTTACATCTATAATCAAAACATAAAGATTGTGTCTATCATGCGTATGTGACAATCCAAGGCCATTCTAGATATGTTTGTGACAATCAGTCTTATATTTCGCATCAGTGGAAGCAATCAAGCAGAAAATGTAATATTTACGAAGATTGAAACATAACTTTGATATCAAGCAGATAAGAAAATGTTTGAGTTTGCTGATATACTTTGGAACAATTCAAACTTTATAACTTGGATCTGCATTTTTTTAAAATTAGGTGATAAAAAGTGTGGGAAAGGGCAAGGACCTCTCCTTGTAAATCAACAAGCAACTCTGTTTAGGATACTACACCATGCCAGTAGACCCATCTGCACTTGGATAGTTGTGCCCTGAACTGGACAGCCTTACTCAGATGATACCCTCATCATGATAAAATGATTGCTTCTTCCAAGGCTCTGATTTGTTAACCAAAATCATACAGAATTTAAGTTAAGGTCAGACAAAGTCCTGTTTTCATTATCTTGCACATATCTAAATAATAAAATATCAAATAATATAGGAATAAATATATCAAAGCTGAGTAAAATATCAAGTTTAGGATCTCATCAGAACTACTAATTATTAAAAAACACAGAAGCAGAACAGTGGGAAATTCTGAAAAGCTTCAATCTCTTAGAAATAATAAGCAGCTAAACTTCCTAGGTTTTGTTGAAAGAAATGTCCTTCTGGGTTCAGCTCCAAGTGGGGGAAAAGACACTGGAGACATGGAGGCTGCTTGGAAAGATGGTTTATTGTTGGTTAGGGGGGAGCACGACTTTTTAGCCAGTCTTATATACTTTTCCTGGCAAAATACATGGAGAAATGCCTTTGGGGAAAATGCCACTTAGTGTTAGGGTTAGCTCTCCATGAATTCGCAGAGCAAAACGGAC